CTCTAAGAGAATTAGCTTCCCTCAAGGTTTCTGTTTGTTTTCTTCTTTTTTGAGAAAGAAATAACAAAAAATGTTTTCTTCCTATTATATGTCGTAAAAGTTGTGAAGGATATTATTTCTAAAAAAAACAAAAAACTGTGCAGTATATTCTATAAACAACATTTTTTCTGCTTTTAGGTAGAGGATGCTGTTATTCTTGCATTGGCACAGCATCGGCGCTCAAATGTAGTCCGGCAGTCCTCTGGTATGACTTATATGATTTTGTGTGAATTTGTAATTCTGTTGGCTTCAATGGATGAAACTAATTTCTACTTTGTACTCCTCTCATCTCAGGTGTATCTGTTGTATGCTTTTACACATCAAAATTTCCATCTCCTAGAGTTCATGCATTTTTGCTTGACACCATATCTGATTTTCCATAATTGCAGTAGGGCATAGTCATCAGTTTAGAGCAAATACCTGTTGTCCATCTCTGTGTTGTTTGCAATCGTGAATTCTATTATTAACTTGACTGCTCGCTAAACATCCAGTGGCACATGTACTTTAACATAATGATTAATTCGCTAGTCTTCTTGCCGTTCCATCTGGTGCAGTTCTCTTATGTCAAGCCCCTACTCCATCTTTGTTAGTTTTAAAATCGAATAATATCAATCTTTTGTTAGTTCGAAAATAGAATAATCTCAAGAAAAAATAAAATAAAATAGAATAACACTGACTCTTGTCTTTTATGCTTTTGTTGCTTGGCAGATCCTAAATCATGTGCTGACCCCAAGTTGATGGATGCATATGGTAAGGAATTTGCTCAATTCACTTTATACAAATTTGAACATGTTTGATTTGGAATACCTCTGTTTGTTGGTTATTTGAATATCCTCCTTAACTAGGATTTGTAGATCAATTTATTTAGGTTCCTATTTTAAGAATTTGTTAAAACTTGAATGTCATTCTCCCTTTTCTGGGCTCAATTCGCCCATGGGGAGGGAAAATAGAAGAAGGTGTGTGTGTGTGTGGGGTGGGGGTGGGGGTG